GGTGTTACGTGATGCTTGTTTAGTCGGTGCATTCGAGACTAGGCAAGGGTAAAAACTTTAACAGTGCAGAAATCGCCATCATTTCATTGCCTTGATTCTAACCGTTTGTGTCCGAAGATGCAAAAGAAGTCAGTGGCTTTTAACTGTTTACAAATAGAATGTGATTGTAAAATGTACAGTTTGGTTGTGTTTGAATTATGAAGTTTCTCCAGATATTAATAAATCATGATGTTTTTGGCTGCTCAGCATATAACTGTCTATTTTTTGTGACTTTATTTGTAGGCTGTTTTCTATACGATGAAAATATCAAACGATAGAGCTCTGTATCCCCATAGTTTGATTTTTCTTTTAGCCTTCTGATTTCTTTTTTTGTTTTTTTTTTATGAACAAATCTGCATTTTATCCTAGCAAAACTCTCCCTCAGCCTTGCCCACTGTGAGCTGAGAATCTAAGTGCAGAAACCTGCAGCTTGCTTTTCCTTTTCTATTTGAGCACCTTTGGAATCCCGCTGCCCTCCTCCATCCACTTCCACCGCCCCCCACCATTTGTGCCCTGCTAGATGCTCAAGAGGACACTTGCAAATAAGGAGAGCATTTTGGAAAATAAACTTTAATGCTTAAAACGTCCTGGTGTTTAAATTTATACCTCATTTACATTAATCATGACAAACAATGCAGCAGCGCTTAATTTGTATTTCACTTCACAGTGGCTTAGCTTGTTCTGAAATGGCTATAGGGCAGACCATATATGTACATAGTATGATGTGACTTCAACAATCTGTTAGCCTTTATTTTCAAATTGCCGGATGTAAGTCATTAACTCTGTTGGATGCCAGCATTGTGTGTTATTGGACACTTCTGTACCTATCGCTACGAACCACGCTGTCCCAGCCCAAGCTGGCTTCCCAAGTCTGCTCTGACCCCGGTGAAACCGTTGCCTGATAATCTTTCAGGACTCCGCATCGAGTGGAACTGACATCACGCCCGCGTTGATTGTATTGTCAAAGTGTTTGGACTTCTTTCACTGAGCTTGTTACGTGGAAATAAAATGTGGTTGGTTTTAAAGCTGATGCTTGGTGCCACGGTTCAGTCTGTAGCGCTCAGGCCGTCCAGCTCCGCTCCAGCGTACACAGCTCCATCCCCTCGCAGAAGGAGCGCGGCCGCCTGCCTGGCTGCTGGGGACAGGGGGGGCTGGCACAGGAGGGGCCCTCGATCCGTGTTCCCGCCCTTGGAAGGGAAAATGTGACCTGCGTGCCCCCCAGCTCGGGCCTGATGCTCACCGGTTGCTGCCTGGAGTGCTGCTGCAGGAGGGAGAAGGGCGCCCAGGGGTTGGGCTCCACGGGCCAGCTGGACACCGAGACGTCACTGGCTTTGCCTGAGTCGACCATGGGTTCGTTCATGCTGCTGCAGCTCGTGTCCCAGCCGTACTGGAAGCTGGTGGCAAAATCCGTTGGGGATTAGAATAGGTGGGAGGGGGTCAAAGTGTGTTCCTGGCACAGCAACGCCGGGGCCCTCGGGAGAGTGATGCAGTGCTGGGCTGTTGTGCTGCAGCTGCAGCCAGCTGGGGCCGTTCTGAGAGCGGCGGTGCCAAACAGAAGGGCTTGGAATGCGGGAGGCTGTGCCCCCGGTCCCGCTCCCTTATTTCACAGTAATCCCTAGCGCTAATTACGAGCCCTCGTGGGCACGCACACAATTCCCGCTGCAGCTCTGAGCCTTTCTGCACCGCTCCTTAACGGGGGAAAACCACCCCTGCGGCACCGGGCTGCAGAATGGCGCTGCGCCGTCGGACCCGGGAGCACGCGAGGGGCTGAGCTCGACCCCGCAGCTCCCCGTGCCCGCAGCCCCGCACCTACCCGTGTCCGCGGGCGGGCAGCTCCGGGCGCTGCGCGGCGCTGAGGGGGTCGCTGCGGCAGCAGCAGCCGTCGTCCGGGAGGTGCAGGTGCAGGAGCTCCTCCGAGCGGCTGAAGGCGGGGTTGTCCAGGGAGCTGCCCGAGCCGGGCCACGAGCGCGCCCAGTGCGGGGCCGCGGCCTCGTCCGGGCGGCAGAAGCGGCGGTAGCTGCGGGCGATGAGCGCTGCGGAGCTCCGGGGCGCCGTCCGTCCCCGGGGGCTCCCGGCCCCGCTCCCACCCGCACCCACCTGCTGCGGCCCTGCTCGGCCCGCGCCTCCCGCAGCAGCGCCCGGAACCTGCGGACCACGGCGGCCCCGACGGCGATCCCCAGAAGGACGACGCCGAGCAGAGCGCCCGCGGCCGCGCCCAGCAGCCCCGCCAGCGTCACTCGCCGCTCGCAGCGCAGCCCCACGAACCAAACGTCGCTGCCCGCGGGGCACCTGTGCGGGGATGCGGGGCGCTGAGCGGCTGCCGCTCGCGGCGTTGGGGGGTTGGGCGGGGCGGCACCCACCGGCAGAGCGGGCCGCGGCCCCGGGGGTGCGCGCACACGCCGTGGTTGCGGCAGTAGTCGCGGTGGCAGAGGGACGTGCACGTGGCGTTCCCGTCCGCCCTCACGACGCAGGCGAAGCCGTCGGGGCAGGAGAACAGCGCCGCGCAGGGTTCCGGCGCTGATAGGAGAGCGGGAGAGAGGAAGGCGGCGGGGCCGTGCCGCTCCGCACCCTCCGAGAGCCGCCGGGCCCCGCGCCGCCCGCCCGCACTCACCGCGTGCCGTGTGCCGCAGGACGCGGGCGGCGCCCACCGCCGCAGCTCCGCCGGAGCGCAGCGCCGCGTCGAGGAGCGCTCCCAGCGCCGCCGCCCGCACCAGCTCGGCCGCGAACAGCGCGTCGTAGTGCAGCACCACCTGACGGGGGCTGCCCGCCCTGCGGGACACGACACTGCGACTGCGCCCCGCATCACCCCGAACGGCCGCGGGAACGCCGGGCACTGCGGGGCCGTCCCTACCTGACGGCGGTCACCTCGAGACGCACGAAGCCGCGCACCGCCGCCAGCCGGGCCGCCACCTGCGCGGGAGCCATGGGTGCCAATGCGGGACCGCCCCAGCGCGATGCTCCTCCCCACGGGGCGGCCCCACGCTCACCGTCCGGTTGAGGCCGCTCAGCAGCACGTGGTGCTCGTGGGACGCGGGGTCGCGCAGCGCGGGCACGAAGGCCATGTCCAGCGCCAGCTCGCAGGGCACGCGCAGGAGGGACGCTGCGGGGACAGAAAGGGCTCGGCATCGCCACCGCTGCCCGTGCCGGCGGCTCCCGGGAGGGTCACCCCGCAGCCCACCTCGCAGCTGCGGCGGTTCATCCTCCACGATGAACTCCGGGGTGGCCCTGCCTGCTGTCTCTGGGTTTGGTGTCACGCATGTGGGGTCAGCGTGTGGCCGCTCCGTAGGGCTGCTCTGTGAAGGAGGCGGCTCTGTGCCCCCGGGGGGGGTCTGTGGGCTGATGGGGGGACCCTGGCACCGCACTGGGCCCCCGCGTCAGCTCCTCCACAGCCCCCCCGACATGCAGCACTGATGGGATCCAGCGGGGCCGTCCTCTCACCCCTGAGCAGTGCGGGGCTGGTGGCAGTGGCTGTGCTGGTAGCAGTAGGTGTGCTGGTGGCAGTGCTGGTGATGCTGGTGCTAAAGGTCAGCAGAGGTGGAGATGACGTGGGTTTGGTCAGGGCTGGCTGCAGTGGAGAGCTGGGGGCCGCGGGAAGGGCTGTGCTTGGTGGTGCAGTCACTGCCCAAGGCCCAGCATCACCTGCCCACACCGGGGTCCCTCCTGGGACCTGAGGCCTCTCAGCATGTTCATGCCCTGGGGACGCTGCTGGGTGGGTGTCTGCAGTAGGGATGAGCCCCAGGGAGGGCTGTGGGCCCAGTGACGGTGGGGCTTCCCCTGGCAAGGCTGAGATATGCCAGGTCTGATTCATGGGGACATGGTTGGGCCCAGGGGGACTCTGAATGTTTAGCAGCCCCAACACCTCCGTGGTCAGGTCTGGGGCTCCCTCAGGGCCAGGGAATGTCACCCCTAGGACAGCGGCTGTGGTGCTAGGGTCAGGAGGCAGACGTGACTCCATGGGCAGTAGGGTCGTGCTGGCCCCAGGGCCCTTGGGATGCCACATCCGCCCTCCATGGCCAGCAACCCCTGAGAACAGCAGAGGGGGGCGGGAAGTGGCATGAGGACCCAGCCAGGCCATGGTTGTCCCCTGCAATGAGTGGGACTCTCCTACTGGCCCTGTCCCTGCCAGCACCTGATGAATCCTTCCTAGTTCCCCAGGGGGGCTCTGCAGACTCTGCAGCCCCCCCACAAAAGACAGTGTCCCACTCGTCCCCGGCACAGGGCTGTCTGCTGTGTGGCCCTGGGGGGTCCCTGCTCTGATGTCACTGGGTGGGATGGTGGCACCCCTGCCCTCTGGCTCCAGGGCAGGGTGTGAGGGGTTAAGTGAGCCCTCCCAGCTCTGTGTGAGCGCTGTCCTCACAGTGCTGGGGGTTCCCCACTGCCCCCTAGAGCTGCTGGGCACCATCATGTGGGACGATGAATGCGACAGGGTCCTCTGTGGGGTTGGGGAACTCTCTGCCTTCTCATTTCCTATGGGCTCAGTCTTGGGGGCAGTGCTGATGGCTGGAGCTGTGCTGAGCTCCATGGTGACTGCTGTGAACACCCTGGCTGGGCTCTCCCCAGGGGGTGTAGGAGACGTTCCCTCTCTGCCTGCAGCTGCATCAGTGGCACCAGCAGAGGGTGAAGGCTGTGCCGCGGTGCTCACTCCATCCCGCACTGCAGGGTCCGTCCCGGCCTCCCCAGGGCTGCTGCTTGTGCCGGAGGGCTCAGCAGTCCCGGGTGGGGTCCCAGGGAAGGGGAACAGCTCAGCCTCTGTTTGCAGCCACCCCGCTCCGTGTTGTGGATCTGCGGGCACAGGCAGAGGGATGCTGAGCGGGGCGGGCGCCCTCTGGCACAGCACCAACACGCGGGCCCACCCCGCAGGCAAAAAGCCCATCCGCGGTACGGTACCTGTCCGGCAACCCTCCCCTGGGTGGGCGCAGGGGACGGCCGTGCCCCGCGTGGAGCCCATCCCGCTGCCGAGAGCGGGGCAGAGCCGCGCGCAGCAGCCCACGAGAACTGCGGAAGGAACGGATCGGGCGTCAGCGCCGAGCACGGGGCTCAGTGCATCGTCCCCCCCAAAAGCCCCGGCAGGCGGCGATGGCGCGGCGGAGATACGGCCGTCCCGCACCGCGGCCTCGCGCCCCCGAAGGCTCCGCCCGCACACCGGCACGAGCCCGAGGCGCCGCCAGAAAGCACCGCACGTGCGGGCACGGAGCCGCCCCTCCCCGGCAGAGCGGCGCGGAGCAGAGCCGCGCAGGGCTACGCGAAGGGTGAAGCGTTTTCCAAGCTTTGCACGCGGCTCCCGCGGGGCAGCGGCGGGCGTGGGGCCCTTTGTGCCTCGGGAGTCATTTCCTGCGAAGGGAAAAGCGCGGGCATCGCTCAGCGCCCGGCTGGATCCCGCCGCCTTTGTCTCGGCGCGCGGAACGCAGCCGCTGCCGGCCCTGCGCTGCGCGGCCCCGCGGGCACCGGACGGACGGGACGGAGCGCCGCTCCGAGCCGACGAAGGAACCGCCCGGCCCGGCGCCCCTCCGAGCCCCCCGCCCCGAGACGCCGGCACGGGGACGCGCGCGAGGACGCCGCCCCTGCACGGGGGGGACGCGCATCCCCCGGGGAAAACGGGGCCGCGGCCGCCGTACGCCCGTGCGTGGACGGAGCCGGGGGGCACCGGGCGCTGCCGGGAGCCCTGACCCTCTCCCGCCGCACGTGGCTGCCCCGAGCTGAGCTCCCCGCGGACGCCGGGCCCGGAGGAGGGAAGCCGACACAGCACGGTGACGGCCCCCCGGCCCCCGCCGCTCCCCGCGGCCCCTCCCGCCCTCCCGCGTCGCGGGGTCCCGGTCCCGTAGGGAGCTCCCTGCGCTCACCTGCGGCGGCCACGAGCCGCGGAACCCGCTCCATGCTGCTGCTGCTGCCGCCGGCGGCTTCGGAGCGCAGGAAGCCCCCGCCCGTTCCCTCCGCCGCGGGGCGGAGGCGCCCGGAGCCGCAGCCCCCGGCCCGGCCCGGCCCAGCGGGGAGCGGCGGAGCGGCAGGGCTGGGGCGGACCCGGCTGCGGGCGGAACCCGGCCCTGCGGCACCCGCGGGCGTCGAGCGGAGACTCGGAGCCGCGATCCCCCCCGAGGCTGCCCGTCCCCGCCCGCCGCATCCCTGCGGAGCCCCTCGGACGCGGCTCAGCTCCCTCCTGGGGCTGGGAAGGACCGTACCGCCGCCCTCCCGGCACGCAGCTGCAGCGCTGACCCGGCCAAGGCTCTTTCACATCGACCCCGACACGAGAGCGATGACCGCACGGGGTACCACCCCAATGAGAGCCGCCACGGGTGCTTTCTCTCGTTTCCACTGCACGGCACGTTCAGAGAATATTTCATAGTTCATTTAAGAGGAAAGAGCTGTTTCTTACTCAATGAAAGCAAAACCCGGGCCCTGAAGAGCAGCAGAGCACCCTCAGGCCGGGGGCACAGGGCAGACTCGAGTGAAACATGGTTCTCCAGAGGAGGCTCTGAAAACAGCACCCACCCCACATTAAGGCTCCATGTGAAGCAGCTGGGGCTTATTTTCCACCATCCCATCACCCGGATTGCCAGAGGAAGGCATGTTATCAACTGACACTTCTTGGCTCACAGCCCAGCAGTGCCTCTTTGACACACAAAAGTGTTTCTTGGCTGAGAAGAAAGACTGTGCAGTGTCCAGAAATAACTTTTTTTTTTTTTCCCCCTGTCTCAAGAGAGACTGAAAGCAAACCTCCCGTGCTGGGATGAGCTACACTTACCGACACCCCGATGTGGTTTTGCATTTCAGCAGCAGGCATGTCATCCCCTCCTTTAATTTCCATTCAAAAAACAGAAGCAAAAAATGAGACTCATTTTTGCCAGCATTTGTGAAATAAATAGTAAAGGCAGAAAAGAAGCATTTTAGTGGAAAGAGTAGCAGTACCAGCAGTGAGATCACAGGACTCAGCTCAGCAGCAGAGGCTGTACTGGAGCTCCCACTCAGGTATACGATGCTCTTTCAGTCTGCCACACAAGGAGCTCTCCAGGAGGTGCAGCTGATGCTGCCAGCTCACAGTGCAATGAGCCCCAGCAGTGTCCCTTGCCCTAAAAACCAGCCCCAGTGGGCTGCAACTGTGAAACAAAAGGCATCAACACCATCATGGTCTTATATATTTATTCCTTTTTTCCTCGTTTTCAAAGGACAACATATTCAGACAGCTTTAAATACAACGTCCAAGTACAACTTTCTGATGAAAGCAGCAGCAATGCAGCATGTGCGCTTATGCCCACTGACATCAGGGCCATCCTAGTGGTAGACATCTCCTGTTCAAAAAAAACGTCCATGCATTTAGTAATTCATCAGCTGGAAGCTACCACATTAAGGAACAAAAGAGGCTGGTCTGGCAGAGACATTGTTATGGGAACTGCTGAGCCACGGCCTGAACCTCTGATTGACCACCTGAGGGGAGCACTGAGTCAGCCAGAGGAGCACAGGTGAAGGCAATTCACCCGTGCTGCCGTGAGGGGTGGAGCCTGGCTGCACCTCTCCTAGACCTATTTAAGAGCTGACTGCCAGTAGGCAAGGATCTCTTCTGGAGATCTGCTCTGCTGGAGTTTTGTAGTGAGCCCAGGATAGGGGTAAGCATTCTGTCTATTCTCTTTTTGTTATCGTAATCTGCTTTGCCAAACTCTCTTGTTTATTTTGTAATAATAGCATCTTTATATTCATTGATTATACACATGACAAGTGCTGAAGAACACCAGAGGAAGTTGCATGAGTCTTGCAAGACTGTCACTTTTTTTTTTTTTTTTTTTTCCCCATCCATTTTTGGCTCAGAAAGAGCAGCAAACAGGCACAGCTCCTTCACTGACCCTTTACACCTCAATCTCAGGGAAGATCGAGGCAGGGGGGAAGTGAGTAGCATGCACAAGAGCAACAAACAGGAATCTGCTTCCACGTGCTCCTGATGCACACAGCCCTGAGGCCATCGCTCACTTCCCCTGCGGCCCCCAAGTGCCTCTCAGGCTGCCGCTGGAATAACCCTTTCCTCATCGTTTCCTTTCCTGCCGCCGTCCCAGGCTGTGGCTGATGAGAAAGCAGCCGCTAGCTGCAGCTCAGAGCTGTGCCGTCACCCACCACTAGAGAGCGCTGCTCAGCACACTGCGAGCAGCTGAAGAGCTCTGAAGGATGGACTCCAAGTCAGTTCACCATCTGCTAACAGAACTGTGGATTCCTGCAGCGCTTGGTGTGGCATAGAGACCCCTGCGGAGGCACGTTTATACTTACTCTGCTTTGGAGAATTGCTTTTATTCATAAACATCCTTCTTATCTGCAATGTAATCTACAATCTCTTGTGGACACATTAATTTTTCTGCATCTCCATCAGGAATTTCAAAGCCTGAAAGAAAGCACATAGATTCAGCCCAAAACAATGGAAACAGGAGCAAGGCTGAAGGAAGCAATTACTGCTGGCTCAGACGTCTGCAGCACAGCCAAAAATAAACACACAGGGGCTGCTTCTCCACTGCAGTCAGAGTGAGCATCTCGTTACTACAGCGAGTTTCAGGCTGTGCCTACACCTTACATGACAGTGAATCTGGGAGACAAGGCAGAGGCTGCAGTGCCAGCCAGTGTCCCTGAGCACTGCTGAAGCCATCGGTGCCCAATCAGGGCTCCCCCAACACAGAAGAGGGATGTTCTGGGTAACTGCAGGCAAGCAAGAGCCAAAGCCCCTCGGGTTCAGTTTGCTGCCGAACGCTCATAGAACAAACAGAGCTGCAGCCTGGGATGGGGAGTGCGGGGCTCTCAGCAGCGGATCTGCCCTGAAACACAACCCAGAACACGGAGCTCCTCTCTGCCCGGTCCACGCGGACGCACACCAACGCCCGCGCCATTACCGAACTCGTCCTCCATGGCCATGATGATCTCCACTTGGTCCAGGCTGTCCAGTCCCAGGTCCTTCATGAAATGCGCCTCGGCCGTCAGCTGGGGGTGCACACAGGCGGTCAGCTCCCGCTCCCGGCCCCGCCCCCCCCGGCCCGGCCCGGCCCCCGCTCGCCTTCTCGGGGTCGATCTTGTCGTACAGCTTCAGGACGTACAGGACGCGCTCCTTGATGTCGGCCAGCGTCAGCGGCGGCAGCTCCGAGTAGCGGCGGCACGGCACAAGACCCGCCCGCGGCGCCGTGGGGATAAAGGCGGGCTGCGGGGCCCGCGGGCGGCCGGGGCGGAGCGTGCCGAGCGCGGCGTGGGGGACGGGGAGAACGGCGGCGCCGGCACGGGGCAGCAGGCGGCGGACGCAGGCCGAGAGGACACGGGCCGCCATGGTGACCTGATCCCAGCAGCCCCCGCGCCGCGCCCGGAAGCGCGCGTGCTCGGCGCGAGAGTGACGGCGGGCGGGGGCAAAACCGCGCCCTCTGGCGGCGGGAGGCCGCGCGGCTCCCGATCCCGGTACGGCGCAGACGGACGGAGCGTCACCGAACAGAAGCACTTTAATGACAGCAAGAAACGCCGCGCGCGGCCCCGAGCGAGGCGCGGTCAGGCAGCCCCGTGCCGCGCGTAGCGGTACACGCAGACGCTGCCGTCCGCCCGCCCCGCCAGCAGCCCTGCTTCCGCCGCGCTCCAGCGCACCAGAGTCCAGCGGCTGTCCGAGCCCGGCGGCAGCAGCGCGGTGCAGCGGCCCAGCAGCAGATCCCACACCGCGATGGCCCCCGAGGTCAGCACAGCTGCAGCCGAAGCGTCCTTCACCTCCCCTTCCAAGTACCTGCGGGAGACACCTTGCATCACCGGGCTGCAGCTCGGCTGGGAAAACACCGGCACAGCCTTCAATGCAGAGCTGTTATGCCCCTAGAAAATCTACACTAGCTCTAATACACCTAAAAAATCTGCAAGCACGTTTAAGCCGATGTTGAGAACCAGGTTATGTTAAATATTGCATCTTTAGTGCATCTGGAAGAGGCTCATGCAACACTCCCCTGTCCTCAGAAATTGAAAGTTCTTCTGT